TCTAGTGTCTAAAAGGTGGAGGTTTTAAACGTGCCTGAGTTCATGTCAGTTTCTAGTTGCATCAGTTTACTGTTGGCTGAGGATTTCAGCCATACATGGAGAATGGTGACTCTGCTTTTGATCTCTGCTGGCCAAACATCTCAGGTACAATGATTAGCTCTCAACTCATAACTTTGAATTCAACCCTTGCTGTTTCTGCATTACCTTAAGGCAGGGGTAGGAAACCCTTCACTCCTCCAATGTTTTATGCTATAGCTTCTGTAAACCCTTTGTATTGGTCATACTGGGTGAGTTTTCTCTGAGTTGGAAGTACTCAGCTTCCCTGCCTCTGGTTTAGAGTTTTTACAAGACAGCACAGTTGTCCCCTGATTTTTAAAACTGAGCTTCTTTACAACATTGTTCAATTCAGGGCATCGGTCACAACCCTTGTTTCTTGGAAGAAAGCCCTTTTATCTTTCAAGCTGCATTCCTCATGTCAGAGACAAACTGAGGAATTAACAGACAAAACCAAATAAAAAAATTAAACGAAACAAAAATGTTGTGGCACCTTAAAGACTATCTGCTCTGACGAAAGCTTACATTAAAATATAGAAGTTAGTCTTCTGGGAATTAATGCCTGGTCTAATTCCATCCCATTCCTAAGTTTCCCCATGCTCTCACATTCATTTTTGGTGTGTGTGTGTTTGGAAGGATTCATGTTTTGTATTCTAGGATTTCAGTTTGTGTATTACGGTTTTGTGGGGAAAGTTTGTGCCTGGTCTGTGTCATTTGAGGAAATGTTACTGTATTATGGGAAGGCAGGTTATAAATCTTTCAAAGAAATAACAGGTAGACTATCCTAATGTAGGGTTTTTTAATTTTTTAAAAACCTTGCTGGCTCTTCTTGTTTTATGGAAGAAAGATATATGTATTCTTCCTCCTCGGGTTAAAGGACAACTAGAATCATAGGCTGCTTCAAGGTGGGAAGAGTTTAATATTCGTACAAGTAGTAATTAATAGCATACATACATAATGGCATCAAAGGTGGCTTTTATTGGGCATCTATTGTGCACCAGATCCTAGTTCTTCTGAAACTCATATATGAGAAGGCAGACAGTACAGTAGTCTGACCCTGTGCAATTTCTGCTTTGCAGACAGAAGTCAATTAGGGCATGTTACCGTAGTGTTTTGAACTGAATGATGCCTGTAGCTTTTGCTCTGCCTGTTTACTTAGCAAGAGATTGTTTTACATCCATCTGATTTTTCACCCACCCCCTTCTTTTACACTGAGCTTGACCTGCTTTCCTTCAAGTATGCCCTAGTTTTCTATATAACTAGGAGCTTTAAATGTTATTATTAGATTTTCTCCCCTCCCAATGTTAAAGGACAACTACCAATATAGGGTACTTCAAGGTGGGAAGAGTTTAATATGTATACAAGTAGTATTTTATATATCCTGGTCAATGGCACTTGGGAGGCTGGAATTGAAAGGCTGGTGGCTGCAGTTGGGAGAAGTGAGGAGTGTCCATTCTGCTGGAATTAATAGCAAGAGTACTGTATTGGAATATGTGTGAGGAGAGATTCATTTCATTATGGAGGGGGAAGGGAAGGGAGAGATTGCAGCTGCTGGTAAGCTGATACAGAAGGGCTGGCAGCATTGTCATGTGGGGAACCTCCAGTGTGTGCTTCCGTTGCTGTTCTCTCAAGCAGAGAAGTCCTGCTGGAATCAAGTTGTTTTTAAAGATACTTGTGGCTCCTACAGTACTTCGGGGACTCTCTCTCTCTCTCTCTCTCTCTCTCTCTCTCTCTCTCTCTCTCTCTCTCTCTCTCTCTCTGTGTGTGTGTGTGTGTGTGTGTGTGTGTGTGTGTGTGAGTGATATTTATTATTGGCTTCTGTTTACATGCGTCTGAAGAGCATGAATGATGGATGTTGATTCTACATGATACGTACATAATTTGTTTATCGGTTATTGGTTAAGCAGCACGTGGTATAAGAGGAGTGCTGTATTTATTAGCACCATCACTGACAAGATTTTTTATTGGCACTTTATATCTAACAGATCTGTGATGAGGTATGAAGGCATGTGTATGTAATGGCATCAAAAGTGCCATTGGATATGCATTCATCATGCACCAAGTCCTAGTTGTTGTTCCCCGTGTGTCCAAGTATAATATCAAAACGCTCAGAAACAGTTTCTGTTAATAAACCTGGAGTGCAGTGCCACTACTGTAGGGCAATCCTGTCTGGAGTCATGCATGGTCAACCCCCGTCTCCCCCCACTATAAATTTCAGGGGTGGGTTTGCCCAAAGCAGCAGCAGTTGTTTTTTAAAAGTAAGGAATAATACATCCAAAACTGTTCCAGTGCATATTCTCAGGAAGGCATATATTGCCCACCTCACCGTATGTCTTGACTGGGAATGCATATCTTTCCTTCCTTACACCACTTTCTGGTGTTGCGCCATGTTGTCTGCTAGTGTTGGAATTCAGGGGTCAGCCTATCCTTTTGCTTCCACAAGGAACTGTGAAATATATTGCAGCCTCCTGTGAATACTCTACATAGCCCAAAGGGGGTGGAGGGAGATGGAAAGAGAGATGTCAAACAGCCTCTTAGAACCTAATGCCACTAGTTGGGAAATAAGTTCCACTGACTTACAATGAGGATTGGAGCTCTGATTATCCTTATTAGAAAGGCTAGACCACTAGTTTTTCCAGTCTGGTCAGGTTTCCTTAAACAATCCCTGTGGTAAAGGGAGAGTGGGCACCTTCAGTGAATTGGGAAGGGGCAGAGTTTTATTCCTGGGGTCCTGTGGGGACCACACAAATGCTAAAAAAAAAAGAAAAAGAAAAAAAACTGGAAATGGGCAGAAGTCCATTTCTTGTTTTGAAAGTGGGTATTCTGAGGCAATAAGCACTGTGAGGAAGCCTTGTGTCCCATCTGGAAAGCAAATGCTTGCTCCTGTAGTACCATTGCTTGCTGGTTTGCTTGCTTGAATGCTTGCTTGGAGGCTTGCTTATTGATTGATTGATTGATTGATTGATTGATTGATTGATTGATTGATTGATTGATTGAATTTCTGTCCCAGCCTTCTAGACCAAAGGTCTACTCTGAGCAGTTTACAGATTCAAAAACAAAAACAAAAAAATATAGTGAAAACATATATTATAGATCCAAGGTGGCAAAAGTATAAGAAATTATAGCCACGTTTTAAGTTTATTCCTGAAAACACCCAGAGAGGGAGCCAGGCAGATCTCCACTGGCAAGTTGTTCCAAAGGCGAGGGGCCACTGCCAAGAAGGCTCTCTTCCTGATTCTTTCCTTCTGGACCTCCCTCAGCGTTAGGCCCCTAGGTGAGAGAACGTGATCTGCATTCTAAACCAAGGTCCTAAACCATTTAGGGCTTTATATGTAATTGTATATGTAAAGTTTGAAATGTGTAAACTATGAAATCAATGCGGAAACGAATGGGCAGCCGATTAAAGGCAGCCAGTGTCGGGGAAATATGTTGGTACCTTTTCACCCCCGTAAGAAGTCTGACCGCCGCATTCTGTACCGTCTGAAGTTTCCGCGTCAGTCTCAAAGGCACAGCCCCATGTAGAGCACATTACAGTAGTCTAATGTTGAGACTACAAATGCATGGACCAAAGTGGTGAGCGCCCCCACATCAAGATAGGGACGCAGCTGGACAATCTGCCGAAGGTGGAAATGTGTGGAACGGACCACTGACGACATGGGTCTCCATGGTGAGCGCCGGGTCCAGATGTACACCCAAACTGCGAACCTCTCCCAAACATTTTATTTTATTTTATCCCTACCTTTCTCCAAAGAACGGACCCAAGACAGCTAATGAAAAATTGTTTAAAAATTTATACATAATGTTGGCCCCAAGGTTTTAAATTCAGGCACCTGGTCTTGCTTTTTCTTGAGTTAGAAAGAAACCAACATGCAAAACCTTACTGTCCCTTGCTCTGACCCACATAGCTACAATCTTTCTGATGTCTTTTTTCTCCCCTTTTCCTCTTTCCCTTGTTAATCTCTAATGTAAAAAAGACAGGTCTGGTAGCAAAGTCTCCACCTCTGCGGAAAGGTTACGGCTGATAGCCTGTATTAGATCCAAGTAGAGTTTTAAAAAGATTCTTCTCTTGAATCACAGCTGCCAACATCTTACAGCTACTGTGTTTTCCCGAATATAAGATAGGTTCTTATATTAATTTTTGCTCCAAAAATGCATTAGGGCTTATTTTCAGGGGATTTTTTTGATGATTAAGACTTATTTTCAGGGGATTTTTTTAAAATATACAACATTTATTCGAATACAGTCATGTATTGCCCTCCACCAACAGTTGCTGCACGACAGTCATGTATTGCCCTCCACCAACAGTTTCTGCTCATTGGTGGAGGGCAGGGTTTCTCTTAACTGGAGCTTATTTTTGGGTTAGGCTTATATTATGAACATCCTGAAAAATCAGGTTAGGTCTTATTTTTGGAGAAACAGGGTAGTTACCATACTGACTGGGGGTTCTTGGTATTGTTCTCCCCCCCTCATAACAATTTTAAGCTCTGGATTTAAACTGCCACATGTTTTTCCTTGTTGTTTTAAAGTTACAATAGTGGAACACCCCAGTTCTTCAAACAGAGAGGCACAAACATGCATACACCTTCCCATTTGGCCTTTCTTATTCTTGGACAAAAAAAAAAGGGTGGTGTTAATGTGTATTTTTCTCATCAATTGATGCCAAGTATGATGGGTTGATCTTTTTACTGTTGGAGCAGACTGCCACGCTGCATTCCACTTGAGAATAGACCAAGTTTTCAGACTGGAATCTGCTTGTCACCTTTTCTGGAACCTAGCTGAAATGGAATTCTGTCAAGAAATGAGTTTGAAAATAAAATGTGGAAATTTTATGAAGAAAGGAATTTAAATGGAAAATGGCAATCTGAAACTTTATGGAGTTCAGATTTTTTTTTTTTGCTACTTAGTCTGCTTCTAACCTTTCCTTCTTTAATTTTTCTTTCTTTCAGGATGGAATGTTGAATTGAGAAGAATCACAGACCTGGTCATACAGCCTGGCTGGTCCGCTCTCTGCTTTATTTATCTATTACTAGTTATTTAAACTGAACTTTTAATAACCTGCCAGCTGCTCTTCGGACACACATGGTGCATTGTTGCCATTCCCAGAATCACATCTTTGAAATCCAGGCTCTTGGTAACCTTCAGCAAACAAAGAGGTGACTTAGAGGATACATCCGCAGCAGGACTTTTTCCAAAACTGCTGCCCTCTAGTTTCTCTGTGGCCTGTGCTGTTTTTCTAGCACATCATGGAGCCCACCATGGAATACTGTTTGGCACAGGTTCTGCAGAAAGATGTTGGGAAGAGACTTCAAGTTGGCCAAGAACTGATAGATTATTTCTCAGATAAACAGAAATCTGCTGATCTGGAACATGATCAGACCATGCTGGATAAAATGGTTGATGGTCTTGCTACCTCATGGGTAAATTCCAGCAATTACAAGGTAAGATTGATTTGCAGAGATGAGTTTGCTAAGGTCAAACACAAGCCTCTCCATCCCTTATAGAATAGTGACTGCACTTTTCATTTAAATGAGCTTGCAAATCTTATTGATCTTGCACATTTTTTTAATGATCGGGAGCTGATCATGTAGTGAAAAAAAATCTTCATTTTGTGGCATTTTACTTTACTGATACAAGAGAGAGAGAGAGAAAGAGAAAGATGAGCATGACATTATTTGGAATTTACTGATCAAAAGTAAGAACAAGGATGTCAGCATGACTAAGCTGGACCAATTTTCTTTCTAGCTGAGTGATTTTGGTCTTTGCCTAGGCTGGATGGACAAAATTTGTAGCAGCATGAAATATAAATCCATGTGTCCTGCCAGTCTTGGATTTTAGAGAGCAGTTTAAGGTGTGTGTGTGTCATAATCTCCATAATAATAAACAACTGATCGCTATCGTCTTGAGCTTCCTTGATGGTACCTTGTCACAATGATATTTGGACTCGGAAAGAGACTAGTGTGATAAAGAAGTCAGAGTAATAAGAGTGGACCATTATGCTATAAGAAAGACAGATTTCCCCCCCCCTCAAACGCTGCCCTGAGTCATCTCCACTTTTCCTCCATGAAATACAGTAGAATTCTGTGTCTTTTCTCATGTTGTGATGTTGCATGTTTTCCTTCCTCCACTGCACATCACTGACAGTTGTTGGCAGGGGATTGCTTTGCATGATGATTCTGGATGTGATACAAGCTATGCTGCACATTATGGAAGGGAAAGGCCTGCTTTTATTGACAGCCTTCTATTCCTTGTAGCACATTATGGGAACATAGGAAGCTGGTTTGTGCTGAGTCATCCTGTCAGTCTATCTAGACCATGGTGTCACTAGTGCCTGCCAAGAATTTTGTAGAACTTTGGGGAGGATTCTTTTCTAGACTTACCTGGAGTTTCCTGGTATTCCCTGGTAGTTTTGTATTTTGAGTTCTAAGCAGGTCTGATCCTGCTTAGCTTTTTGATGCAAGACATGTTCTGTGTGTGCATTATGTGTGATCATCATTGTCATTCTTCAGCAGGAAGGCCGTTTGGAATGTAGATAACAGGAGCTGTGGTAACAGGTAAAAAATGAGGGAAATGAGAAGTACACAGCAGTAATAAAGAAGAGCTGCATAAATTGTTTTAAATTCCTTGGATTGATAAATTGATTACCACATGAAAGTGGTTGTGAGGGCAAATGTAGAAAGGAGTAGAAAGCAATTTCAAAATTAAAGTTGTATTCCATAGAGTAAACTTTGGAAGACAATGACATGTGAATTTATGCATTAATAAGATTATTTTGTATAATTACTTACTTTCAGATGTGTGAATCACTTTTTATTTTGGTAATTTCATTCTTAAATCACTTTGGTTGCTTCTGTAGAAAAAAGGGATGGGGGGTAGGAAGAAGAACCGGACAGAATCATTCATTCAGTCAAGTTTGTCCTGGTTGCTTACATCCTATATAATTTCTTAGCTTGCCCAGGACTTCGTATCCTCATCAAGAAATGTGAAACAGAGAACTGTAGAATAATGAAGTTGGAAGGGGCCTATAAATGCAATCCCCTTTTCAGTATAGGAATCCAAGTTATATCTCTTATTTTTGTCACATGTCTAACTTTCTCTTGAATACATCCAGTGTTGAAGTGCTCATCGCTTCCTAAGGTAATTGGAAGTTCCGTTGTTGATTTCCATCAAGGAAATTGGCTCTCTTAACATCCAGCATACATTTGCAGCTACATTCAGCTTTTACTTTTTTTGAAATCAAAAACTCAAATATAGCATGGGCTTTTTCTCCAAAACACATAGTCTTCCAAGTGGTGTTGGACTGCAACTACCATGATCCCTTGCTGGTGGCTATCCTGGCAACAGTTGATGGGAACTGCAGCCTTGACAGCCTCTGCTGTGTCATGTATTCCTCATTCCTACCCTTACCCCTTTGCATATTTGTTTCCCAGTCACTTTCAGGTTGGTAATATAATTCTTCTTCATCAGCAATACAAGTGGGTCTGCTTCATGACATACCTACATATGCCTCTGGCTATCTTGTGTTATGGCAATGTGGGGGGCTTACAACATGCAGCTGTGCCATGTTACTAAGGCTGGCCCTCCGGAAAAATCACAGTTGCCACTATATGCGATTAACCACTCATTAACTCAGTAACCACTGCATTGTGGCCTAATCACCATACAGTTTAGTGTGGTAGGGGTGCAAAAATTGCAGAGGATATAAGCAGGATCAACCTCCATCTGGACTCTGGTGGGTTTGCTCTTTCTTTGTGACATTAATGCTACCAAGGACTACAATAGGGAAAATACAGACACTAGCAAATCAACATCTGTTGAATCGAATTAACAGAAATGTTAGCATGGAAGGAGCAGTGTCAACAAGCTCTTCTGAGAAAACGTAATTAGCCAAAATCTAGTTATGAAGCCCAGGGGTAAAGTTTCTCCTTTATGAAACCCGTACTCGGACTGAAAATAATTTTGTGTCTATCTTACATTGGAAGGAATGTAGGAATATTAGAGGTTTTCTGACTGGCTGTTGTTCAGCTTCATCGCAGTCTAGCAGAACATGGTGAAGACCTCCTCTCAGGCCCCCTCACTTTGGACTTTATCAACTCAAAAGTCTTGTAATCCAATTCACATGGGAACTGTTTTGCCAACAGCTGCACTGCTGTTAGTACCAATCAGTTTGTGGGTAGGATATGTTGATGAGAGAAAATAATGGAGTGGTGACAGTGGTACAGTGTTTATGTTTGGGTATATGTATGGTGGGAAATTGTGTTGTGCAGGACACATATTGGAAGCACAGATTTTCACAGCTCACTTAACTGCTGCACCTATCAAGTAAATGAACTCTTGCAGCTCATTTTCAAGCACCTCTGTGAAGTTATCAAGACAGCCTTTTCATTTTATGAGTTTGCTTTTAGCATAAATATGCTGGTGTGATTTGCATTTGCTGTTTCTTCTGCAGGGGTTCCTGACCCAATTTCTTAATTCTATGTAGAATGTATTCTCAAGCATTTTGCCAGTCTCTGTGGCTGGCATCTTCAGAGAACAGGAGTCAGAACTCTGTCGGTGCTCTGGTGCACTTTGTTTGGATAGTTGAGTATTTATAGCTGTGAGATCAGCTTTTGTCCATTTCAGGAGATGGGTGATTGTGGTGATCAGCGTGTTTTTGTTGTGGGTGTATTGTTGTGATAAGAGGGAGAGATTGTCTGTCACTGAGATTGATGGGTGTAGTTAGCTGGTCTTTTGTGTGCAGTGATCACCGGTCCTTGTAGCTGGATAGGAGTATACCTTGCAGTTATGGCCAGGTATATACTGGAACCACAAAAAGCAGCATCCACACCAGAATCAAAGAACATGAGAGACACTGCAGACTAAAACAGCTGGGAAAATCGGCAGTAGCTGAACATGCCCTAAAACAAGCGGGACATGGAATTCTATTTCAAAATACTGAAGTACTGGATAACATCAGCAATCATTATGTTAGACTGCCCAGGGAAGCCATTGAAATCTACAAACACCAGCAGAGCTTCAACAAAAAAGAAGAAAGTTTAAAACTCAACAAAGCCTGGCGCCCAGCACTGAAAAATACAGCATGCAAAAGGTCAACAAACTCTCCCCAGCTACAAGGACCGTTGATCACTGCACACAAAAGACCAAACAAACTGCACCAGAACACAGAGTTCTGACTCCTGTCCTCTGAAGATGCCGGCCACAGAGACTGGTGAAACGTTAGGAAGAACAACCTTCAGAACATAGCCAAAGAGCACGAAAAACCTGCAACAACCATCTATGTACAATGTTATGACAAACAAACCCCAAATCTTACTTCAGGACAAATTAATGTAAATGTATGTTTCTCTGTCTTAAGTCTACGAAATCTGCATATCCTGATTCTTTCTCTCTGTAATATTTGAAATATCTTTGAAAAAGAGTAGAAGGACAGGAACAGGAAGTAAGAGTTACAGAGTGGGTATCTTTCCTGTGGTACTCTCTTACTCTTGTCACCTCATTCCATCTGTACATGACCTTTAGTGCTGCTTTTCATTGAAATTGCAATTAGTGTATGCTTGTAGATCATGTGCCCTCTTAAATAGTTTTCCTTATATGGATGCCATGTGTTTGTATTTTCCCTTTCTCTTATTTGTGAGCCACTTTGTGACAGTAAACCTCAAAAAGTGGCTAAACATTACCTTAAATAAATCTTACTGCAGAACTCCCCTTCTCCAAATGAGTTATATCTTCTCACAGACAAGCAGTGCTTGTGGGCAATAGGTTTTGAAGGTGGGGTGGCCGAATGGCCAAAGATCTGTCATACGGATATTTTTGCTTCAAGAGCAGATGTTGCTTAGAGGGGCCCACTTAGAAGTTCCTGAATGTGACCTTAGTTTTTGTCCAAGTGATTTTTACATCCCCACACCCTTTTCCTGATACCTCTGGGTGTTTTCCCGTCCACCCACTTGTCTGTGGCATTGCTGAGATCTGGTGACCTGACCTTCCTGTGGTTATGCTGGCATCACCAGTATGAGGAGTGCCACGGGGAGGGTAAAAGGAAGCAGCTGAGCAATGTGAGAGTCAATATGGCTTGAATTGCCCTCACATACGGTACCATGGAGCTGAACTGAACATTGGGGTCTTTCTGCTGTGCTTGTGCTTTATGTGGCAAATCCAGCAATGAACGCTGCATTGCAGTGGCTGTTTGTGGCAAGGAGTGGGTGTGAGGGAGAATCAGGATAGGAATATTAACATTTGGTAGTGTTCAAATATGCATAACAGAGTAGCCTTTAGGAAAAAGAACATGCTTTTAGTAATGAGCAGGGCAGACAACGGTATCTTTCAGCTCTTCCTTGTGGCTTGCCAACATGTTATGAAATTTTAGCTTGCAGACTATGTACTTCTGAAGGAAGGACATCGAGAAAAGAGACAGACCTTGTGTGAAAATATTTAGGCCAAAATG